TAAGAAACACTATAGACCTTTATAACTAACGCTTGATTTATTATCATTAGTAAAAACTTCACTTGTCATTTTATACCCATGGTAACATTAACGTGAAGGGTGAAAATATCACATCAGCATACCATGTCATTATTCATTATAGCATGTCAACATATCACAACAGTGTGATATAATATAAAATAACAATTGACATTTTGACTAACGACAGTTAGTGAATCATTAATTATAAAGACTTATTCTTGACTCAAATACAGATTTGATTGAACGCGATAAACAAATACTAATTTATTTGAATATTTTTAAATAATTTAAGATTTTTTTTTAAATAATATGTCAAGATTTTAACACTGTAACATTTTAGCAATTAAAGTGGTTATAATAATTAGAGGTAGATGATGGTAAAAAGTCAACATAGAGAGACAGAATGGAGTTATATAGGATTTGTCAAAGTGGTGGAGATTGAGTTTTGGAGAGAAAATTGATGTGGCATCATGCACCGGCCATTCAAGGTGGGGTTGAATAAGTGTGGATTAAGATGGGAAAACATAGGAAGGATTAGATAGTGATAGGGAAACTTTATAGATGAAATTTGTGATGATCTAAGGATGAGAGCAACCCCCATTTTCTTTGCTAAGTGGAAGGGTAAACACAAAGGGCAAGAGGGGGGGACATTGTTTCTTCTTTGAAAAAGAAGGGATAAAAGCTTCAAAGTCAAAAGACAAGTTTAAAGTCAACGGGTAAATTTCCTCCATTGGAGTTAACTTTGTTTTTTTTTGTGTGTGGTACTGATTTATGTTCATGCTCCAAAAAGTTTGAAAGTAACAACATGTAGACCACCCTAAGATTCTAGGTCGGATTAGGGTTCTTCTTTCATATATATAAATAGCCTTTGAAAATGAATTATCTAACTTTTTATTTTTCACAAAAATTATGTTAAAATGAACTAAACCCTAAATTAATCTAACCGAAAGCCTAGAAGTGGAGGTGTGGAACCACAAAAGCCAATGTCATATAAAGTGAAAACACCGATCGACTAAAGAGAAAAAAGGCTAAGATGTGTGATGAAACTCTATGGCTACTTTAAGCGAGCTGGTTTACAAAGAAACAGTCATTTAAGAGAAAGAAATAGCTATTTGCATGGTTATCCGTTACAGAATTAAAAGCATGCAGCTTAATTAATCTTCTAGCACAAATTTTTTGCATAGCTACATATGCAGCTTAATATTGGTATAATATTTGAAAATTGTTCTAAATTATTAAAGAAAATTCATTTAAGTATTTATTTTTTTATTGTGCTTAATCAAATTTTTATACTTTTATTTTAAGTCAAATAATTCTTTATAACTAATGGTTAATTAATTATTATTAATTAAAATATTATTTATCATTTTTATGAAACTTGGTGTTGACGTGAAGGATGAAAATACCATACTATCATATTATTATCATGTTATATCCAGATATCACGTCATTATCTATTACGACGTATGAGCATGTCACACCATTACGTGATATAGAATTACAAATAACATTTTAATTAACAATAGTTAGTTAGCCATTAATTATAAAAAGCTATTTAAGCTCAAAATGCAAATATAAGAACTTGATTAAACAAAATAAAGAATAAAAATTTATTTAAATTTTCTCAAATAATTAATAAATTTTTACACATATTATATTATGCTAAAAATCTTTGTGTCCATATGTGGAATATTAAGAATTTGTCTGAATGATCCAAAAAGTCTAACCTAGTGGTCAATAATTAACAGTATATTATGGTACTAATTAATTATCTCAGTTGCACATGGGTTCGATATTTATCAAATCTCATCCTTACTTTGGAAATTGAGGCATCATTACATTGTGCGGGCCATTGGTTAAATAGTTAAGGTTTACATCAAAGCTAGCACCATCTCAGTAAGATTATATGAATGACTTGACACCTAAATTCACTTACTAATGAGATGTGAATGCCAACTAACTAATTATATTTGCTTTGGGAGTAAACTTTGTCTACAAAATTAATATAATTCGAGGTGAAAATTCCTATAATACTATCATCTGGAAGACTCTGTTGAACACTGTAGACACCCATTTTGTTCGAGTGCATCAAATCCAGCCATTAGAATGTCCCATTAGAGACATATTACACCCGTTGATTACTATATAGATTAATAATCTATCCATCATTAACTGATAATTTTTTCAAGCTCTTTTGCATCTCTTCTGTGCATACATTTCAGTTAATCTTTCACTTATCAAGACAAAACTTTTGCTTGACCAGACGTCTACCTATATCTAATGTTAGGCCGATTGCATTACTCGATCAAATATATATATATATATATATAAAGGGCTTGAGTGAAAGGCAGCTTCAATGCATTTTAATCCATCTTATTTCTACTTTTTTTTTTTTGCATATAATTTTATAGAGGTGCAAATTAAATTATAAGTAACTGTTTCTTATCTTATAAATCTCATTTCTTCGTCTCAAAATTTGAACTTAAAATTTTCGAGTTTGAATCTAAAGTTCTACTTAACATCTGAGTGTGTTCCTAGTGATCTTCATTTTGAAATTCTCATACCTTGAGTATATGTCACAACAAATTAAGATGTCAGCCAATGAAATTTATGCATTATAATACGTAAAACAAGTTCTTGAATTATTTAAAAAATTTTAAATAAATTATTTTTTATTATATTCAATCAAATTTTTATAATTTTATTTTAAATTAAATAAATCCTTACAACTAATAATTAATTAATTGTTATTACTCAAAATATCTTTTATTATTTTTATATAACGTGATATTGATGTAGTATATTAACATATTATAACGAATAATGAAATGACATGATTACATAACTGTCACGTAAGCATAAAATGAGAAATAATATTCTAATTAATAATAATTAATTAACTATTATTTATAGAAACTTGTTTGATTTAAAGCAAAAATATAAAAATTTAATTAAATTTTTTTTAATGGTTCAGGGGCTTTTTCAACCATTATGTCCTAGTTTAAACTAACAATAATAAAAGCAACTTAAATGTCAAAAAAGAAAAGAGAAAGAAAGTAACTTGTAACGAGATAAAAGAAGTTGAGTTATGAAGAATAAAGAAGATAAAGCCAAGAGCAGGAGATGATAAAAGGACTGTAGCTTTAGTGGGACTCATGAGAGAGAACGCAAATGATTAGCTATTTGATACAGACAGCTCGTAAATTCTGACATGGGAACACACTTGGCAACAGAAGAGCGGAGCCAAATGGCAAAGGGCGGCACACCAAACAGACAAGGAGGAGCTGGATTGTGGGAGACGATATAAAATTCATTCTCAGCAATGTCCTAATCGTAACATATAGGTCTTTTGGTTTTATTATGTTGTGTGAGAATATCAGCAAAATGTATATTAAAGGAGCAGTCGTTGTTGCTATAGTGCGGAAAATCTTAGGACATAAAATAGCGGTGGGGAGAGAGGGAGGGGGGGTGGCGTGAAAACTTGGTGTCACGCCGTCCAAACAAGCCTTTCAATTCATTCATCTGCCACCCCACGCGCAATCAATAACCTCCCTAATTCCCTTCCTATACTATATATATATTTATGTGCTCACTCTCTTTCTTTGCAATCAAAATATTCCACCACCCTTTTCTCTCTAGATTCCTCTTCTGCATAGTTTTTGTAATTATCCTGTCCCTCTGCAATACACACTAT